AATATAATTGTCCTAGACGCACTTCCTGTACCCTGCACGAACGCACAATCAAATGGAAAATCGTTATATCAAGCTAGCTAAAATCACAAAGGCCGATTATAAATACAATTTGCTGTCATATATAGCCGCTGCAAGTCGAGCCATATCAGCCGTGGCAACAATGCTATGAAGTACGTATACCGCTCGCTTGATTCCCCCTTATTTTACTACTACTACGGCAATTTCCAGAAGTCTTCAAATCGTAGGACCTTCTAGCGAGCTTTAGACACCTTCGAAACAGTGGACTACGGCCGACATATCGTCGTATCTATATACGTTAATTGTTTAACTGAAAATGTTCATCTCACACCTAGTCCATGTTCGTAGTAAGAGAAGTCTTCAAAACTTCGTCACGTCATACGATCACTAAAAAACTCGAAAAAAGGCGCGTTCCGTTCCCAATTGAGCTTTGCATCTCAGAGACGATCCGCAAACTTACACATCCTAGATACGTTTGGCAGTGCTATTCGCAGGAAACAAAATGTCGACAGGTCCTGCGACAGTTATAAGTAGAGAAAGCTGCCATCATCAGCACCGCTAATATTAATAGCGAGGAGTTCACCGAACAAATGTCCTTCGCAGCGACTACTATTCAACTTGCCTTGCTGCTTGGCGAGACACGAAAGTTCACGAGAAAGACTCAGTATTCCAGTCGCAATGTCATGACTAAGCTGAGACCGCCATTCGTCTCCGCCCATCTCCAAGCAGAAACGTCCGTCTTTATACTTTGCCAGCAGCTCGCGTAACAGAAGCTACATAACGCCAATGACATATTTATTCATTAATATATGGCCAGAAACGACATTGCCATAAGTAGGTTCTATCCATCCATGATGAGGATAATGATTTATAATTATAATTGAACTTTACTTTTGTTTGTACGTGTTCATGCGCCTTGTACTTTTCACGCATCCCCGAATTCCGAATCCTCCAAGGCTCGATTGAACTGTAAATCGTCGAAACTGTAAAAAAATAGCTACTGTGCATTGGATCTTGATGGCACAGTTTGTCACAACTTTATCGTCGCTGCCAGGATAAGAGTAAACAATACTGGCTTTTAATAAAGTATCATATCAAACCAAATCCGTTCGTCTACGTTCGTACGTCCTGTATTCATCTGCAACAGGTAGAAAATAGCTGTTCTAGGGACCGACAGAGAGCAGACAAACACCAAAATAATTACCATTGCCACAGATGCCGCTATATCTGACACTGCTGTCGATAACAACTGCAGGTAAACGTAGTGCGTTATAAACGACAATGTGTAGTCGTCGATGGACGGCGGCGAGGAGCGTCCCTGTCTGCAGTAAGCGAAGCCGAAGTTTTCAATGTCAATTACAACGAATAACATATTCATCAAAAAGAAAAGCAAATGGAGACCTAGCAGCATTATCGTTTACTCTAGCAGTGCACTACAATATGCCACAGCGTAGGGATCAGCCCGTTGCCACTCGGTGCATACAAACGGATTGACATGTTTAGCTGGCCTGACACTTCAGTTGACGCGTCAATTTCGAAACGTCAACGCGGTGTGCGACGGCCACGTTGCTGAGTGAGCCAACCTCGCCCTACTGCTGTGGGGGTTGGACGAAGTCGAGCAACTAAAGGCAGCACGGGTCGGCCATCCACGTGGAGCATACTCGCCGTTTTATCTTATTGCGCAAATGGCCGTGACCGTTGAATCGCGCAGCGGCTTCGGCGCCCACTTGATTCGATCAACGATCGCACCATCACCATCGTTGACGTCGCGTTTTCATTATCATCGCCAGCCAATCGCGCACTTTCTTTACGTTTCACATTTACGATCAATAAAATCGTACGGCGCAGGCGTACGTATAAACACCTATATACTACACGTCCATAGGCCATTTTGTGGGCGGAAGCCACTGATTGCGAATTTCTACAGATAACTGTACATGAGGCAATCGTCAATAACAATGTTTTTTGAATTATACTATCATGTTTCGACCTAGGCGGGAAATAATCGTGTTCTGCTAGAATTAGATACTCGTACACTGCTACAACATCAATATGTTTACAATGTTCTGTTCATCTGAGAGCTTTCATCTGAGAGTCGAGTAGATTTCGCGTCGTGTTGGAAAAGGATTGCCCATAAGCTACTAATCGTAGCGATTGTCGTCAACATAACTGTGAAGCATCGTCTGTAAAGGCGCATTGCACAGTTATTTACCCCCGAACGCCCCAACAAATTCATCCATGTATCCACCTGATGCATGATGGGAACTGCACGCTCTTTGGATTTCCACCAGAAAAAAATTATGTGGCGGCCATGTCACCCACTTGTAATTCACTCAAGAGTCGCGTTGCGTCACGTCGTGTCGTTGCTGAAGCTAGCACGTGCCGCCATGCATGCAGATATTTTTCTGCACGTTACTCTAGTCTGCCAACAGGTGAAATTCAATAATATAAGATGCTGAAATAAATAGACGAACTTACTTCGCTGGCAAACTACTGAATAGGAGTGCAATCAGGCTGTGTTTACAGTGATCAATTACTAGTCTTCGAGAGCTGTACAATTGAATGAAGTCCTCAAAATACTCAAAAGCACGTCTACATCTTTAACGAGACGAGAATTTTTGACGTGATTCGTTCACGTTAGCTGATTGTTAGGTACTAGGGATTGAAGACTACAAGTTACACACGTGATGGAACTTGCTTTTAGACACGCAGATATGTGCAAAGTATCAGATCGCTTTCGCATCCCCAGAGCGGTGATGTCTACGGGTAAAATGTTGGAGTATCGTTCGCATTGCTGAAGTGTATTTTGTGATACAATTCGTGGCACCTTTTTTTTGAAGATTTTCAGCTTGACCAGAAAGAAAGGCCTGAAAGGCCTCCCAGGTACTTATACCGTTTGTTATAGTTTCCAACTTTTATCATGCGTGCGATTTTAATCGTATTTAAAAATTTGTAAAATTCAATGGTCTAATAGCATGTGCAATTTTCTATGCGAATAATAAAGTGGCATTTAACCAAAAAACTTCAAATGTAACAATTTAAGTAGTCCAGTATTTCGGCTTACTGCGATAAAACACACATGTCATAAAAGACATGGCAGCTACCTTGCTAGCAATGGCACCCAACACAATACTTTGCCTCCGTCCTTCTCTCGTCTATCGTCAGACTGAATCTTGTTTGTTGATGGATTTGATTTAGAATAAAATTCTCAAGATAGTCCTATCGTTGTTCCTTTTTTTCAGTCCCTTATGTATTCATGTTAATATTTTATAGTTCACCATTGCTTTTTCCTTCAGCCAATGAATTGTTAAACTGTCGGCTAACACATTTTGAGGCAATTGTACACCGGTATATAAGTAAACAAATAAAACATATACATCATAAACAGTACAAAATCAACTAACTTTCCCAGTAGAATCGGCCATGTTTAGGCTTGGCTTATTACAGCGCAGGCGCAGAACTTCAAGGCACAGCAGAACAGCGTAGTGCAGCGAAACAGAGCCTTTGTTCGGTCGAATTATATTCGAAAGAAAATCATTGTAAAAAAGCTTTCTTAAAAAATTCAATTAGGCTTAATATAAATGTGAAAATGTCGTTGATATGTATTCATTGAGATATTTTGTTCCTAATTTGGTTCGGGTCAGTCTAGTTCTTTATTGTTATATTTTACATAGTGGAATCTAGAAATGTTTCATCGACCATCTGTATCTTTGTGCCATCTTCTCTCGGTTTTGCATATCCAAGTATATTTCGCTATGTGGTAAATGCACGCAGGCCCACGCCTGTCTATCAAAATCGAACCAGCCCATACACCGTGAAATCCGGCATAACTAAGGTTTAATCGTGTCCCATATCGTTCGACCGCCCCTACTGCCTATTACAAGGCCTATGTCCATGCAATGATGGCGTAGAAAATATCAGCTAAGTCAACAGTTTTTAGCCACATACTAAAACACGTCAGCCAAACTGACGCGACGCGACTTGTGGGTTTTGCGTACACCCAGTTCACCGGTTGCAGCACCTCAATGGCTACAAGTGTCCCGTCTTAGCTAACCTAGCAGTTGAGCATCGCGTAGAGAATACCTAGAAAAGAAAGGGCAAGCAGACGAATTTTCCTTCAATCACCTATTTGTACCGCATCAACGTAGGCAGCCAACTAGCTTTAATTACTGTTACAATTAATGGTAATGTTCACATATACCCACACTACAAAAAAGTGTACTGTTTTTACAGATGTTATTTTACCTCATAACGCGATTGTACCAAACCACTAAATTTTATATCGGTCAAATAGAACAAGAACGGCAGAAAAACAGTGGAGCATTGTTTGTTCGAGGTCTCTTGGGCTTGTTCATCTTTTATTGGCCGTTGTAGATATATTATACTTCCAACAGAGTTAACCCATGCCGGCTTGTTTTTACCGGAAGCGTGAGGTTGCGGCGATGTTGTTTGGCAAGATTATATCTGCCGCAGTTTTTTTTTCCAATTTTAATTATTTAATTACTGGCATTTGTTTTTTTTCCTTCCAAAGTTCCCAGGCAATTTCATTTACAGGTGCTCTGCTTGAATACAAAATAAATTTCGCTTTACGCTATATTGCCATCTGTCCCTCCGAAACTCCAATTCCAAGTGTTACTTAAAAATATTTCATATCTTCGGTCGCATATACATGCCAATTAAATTACTAAATGTTAGCGAAATGATTTTCTATATGTAACCACAGAAAGTAGCGCAACTTAGACCGCTGATGTCCCAGTGTCTTTCTAGGGAATATTTCTGGGTATTATGTAAGAGCTGCTTGCGTTATCTCCCCATTCGTCCTATACACATGCGATAAAGGCTAGCCATATGTCGTATGCTCGTACTTGGTACAACTCCATGAAAGAAGAACTGCATTAGATGTTTGCAACTAAATTGTACCGATCCCCGAGGATGAACTGCAGAAGTTTCTCTTCCCTTTATCAACTATAATCAGTGTTTAGGAAGTTCTATTTTTTAGTTAAAAAAAATGCGACTTGCAAAGAGAAAGTTTTTTGAATTTAGTTGAAAAGATCTCCGTTCTGAGCGGATTCGGCACTCATCGTGTCTTACCTGTCTTGGTTCGAGTTTTCGTTTTTTTTTTTTTTAATTAAAACGGAAGGCGTTTCTGTGGAAATATTAAAATGTAGCATTTTTCTGTGAAAAGGTTTCCGCCCGTAGGCTAGGTAGAAGATATTATTTCAAAGTCAAAAGGTCACAGCTTCTGCAAAATCATATTTAATTCAAATGTGGACAGAAGATCGAATATGAAACACCTGGCCGATAAAAAGGATCCGTTCATGTTTGCTGTGGTGAGCTTCGAGATATGAGTAAAAGCGACCATACAAGTGCTTTTTGTACAAATCATAATTGAGCTTGAGCAGCAGGTTGGACTATAACGGCCAATTTGAAGACGCATGTATAGCTGGGATGATTTGTGTTGATTATACTGCACGACTAAAACTGGTCCGCCGAGAGAAAGAAAAATTGCTCTAAGAAATACTTTGTGCAAGGAAGCTGATAGGATCGGGGGTATTTCTTTCAGTGCGCCTTCTGCACTGACTTATTTCCCCTTCAAATCGGCGGCCACTAGTTACCTAGTAAGGGGGATTACCTAGTAGTATATTATGTACACTGCCCGCAATAGCGTATCGGGGCCTGTACGGGCGGATTTGATCTATGGTCATTTTTAAAAATGATTTTTGACTAAGTGGGCTCTTAGGACTGAAATTAATAAATTACGTGCGATAATTGTTCAAGGATTAGTCTGCAACGTCTGTAGGCGCACTCGAACCTTTCAAGACGGTTCGAAGAATACGGTATTCACGAGTCTGTCCAACCTATAACCTCGGCTGGAAATAAATAAATCAATAGATCTCTATTCCAATAAAAGAGATGTGCTTTTCGCTATAATGTATGTAATGCGAAATTCGAATACGTGTTTTGGTGCACGTAATTACAAAGGTGCACGCCTAGTATTAGAACAGTACTATTTAAATGCAAATGGAACGTAAGATAGAAAGCAAACCTGAAACCGGGCCTGCAACAGGTGAAGCGAGTTTGTCAATAGCATTTCCCTAAAAAACACATAGTCACTGCTTTTGCGTCCGTCTAAAGATTTTTCATTAATTGATGTAGTTTTCCAACACCAATGAAATCTTGTTTGTCTGTCTGTCTGTGCGGTGATGTTTTATATACTCATAGATCCAACATGTATTTAGGAAAATATGAATTATGCAGTGTCAACAAGTATATCCATTCCTTGAGCACCGATTCTTATTAACAACATTTATCAAGGAGTGCGGCAATGATCGACTCCCCGCTTCTATACGAGGATTATGGAATCGAAGTGGTACTCTACAAACAGCCAAAATTGGCAAGGGTAAGTACGATTGATGTTACATAGGTATATGACACATATAGGATGTATTGGACACGATACGACCTATGACTGGCAAAAAACGGTTGAACTCTTTCTGAGTTAAGTTTCACTGAAAACTTATTGCTTTTGCGTTCTTCAAATACTATTTATACGTGCCTAGCGATAAACATTATAATATTAAAAGCAAAAATATTTGTTTCTTTTTAAAAAAGGAAAACAGTTTTTTTTTTTTTAGCGATAGCGAATCATTATCCATATAGAATTAGGGTGGCGCTATATCCATTTTCTACTTGACAAGACGCAGACTACAGACTCATTCGAAATTGTTAGAAAAAAAATGACCACAGCATGCTACATAGTATATAACGCATGTCCAATGAAGCCCTCCGTTTCTTTAGCCTTGCCAACATTAGGGTAGCTCGTCTAGGTTATCCTGAAAATGTCATGCCAACTATCTCGGAAAGCAAAAAATTGAAGTAGCTAAATCGTCTTAACTTATTCACACAGAAAGCGTCTATTTAGGAACAATATTGAATAAATACTAGAACGGCAGACAGTTACAAACTTTAACGCGATAGTGTAGTCAATACAACAGAGCTTATAGCACAAACGAGTTCAAATCCAGTTACCTCTCATAAACCATAAAATAGCGATGCGCATGTCTCTATCATTATAATAGGAATTAATTTTTCCTAGAGTGAACCAAGATCACCTACGTAGAATAGCAACCACCGAAAAGCTAGTGCTACAATTCTGACAGAATTGTATTCACATGTATCGTAGCCCAGCCGCATTTGCGCACTCTTCATAGCCGTCCTCATACAGAAATAGGGGATGGAGTTCCTTAGAACTGACGTCCTCGTAAGGGGTTCTGCAATGGCCCACATCGGTCCATTGTCCTGTTGGCCTGTCGCTTCCCTACTAAAATTGGCATCTGTATACATAAGACACTCGTACTTACTTACAAAGTATTGTCAATAATGGAATCATATCCGCCGACGTCTGAATCATATCTGTTGACGTTATAAATCCTCGGATCGTACGAGCAGTTACGACGGCTGTGTAGGGAAGGAAAATAATTGTACAATGATTCTGCCGAACACTTAAGTCTATGTGCAATGTATCTTCTGCTATACCTCTGCGTAACTTATTAACCTATCTGCTGATGATGGTCTGGGTTATGCAATTTCTATGTAGCATATTTTTACAGTTCGAACAAAAATTTCCATAGCACAAAATCGAAACCAGCCTCATCACCTGAGAACGGTACACGATTCCGTATGGTAATTCTTCTCTCGTTCCTGCACCCATTCCGCGGCTATTCCAAGACTATCGTGTACCTAGACAGTCTTCAGTTGCGAAATTCGATCATTACGGTTATTGTTTTGTGTCATTCTGACAACATTGCTACTGAACGATCTGTGCGGTTTGATGGAGAAAAACAGATAGATTGACCTTTTTTCGAAGAAGGCTAAAACATCTTTGTGTGAATACGAATCTTCCGAGATTTGATCGGTAGTTGTGCAAAAAGATTTATACAGTGAATTTAACACAAACACAGGGAACAAAAAGCCGTGAAGAAGCTGCATGTATGTCTATGTTGCCCGTCATCATACATTCGGTATAGACACATTTACATCAGTGTTCAAAGAATCGCCATTTTCGATCGCGGTGGCATCAATCATAGCCTTACGAACGCTGCTAAAAAGGCAGTCTGCTTAGGGTTCGATGTAGCACACATGAGGGTGTGGAAGATTTCACGATCAGTTCGAAGCAACAGTGTCAAAGGCAGATTTGAAGTCACAAAAATGGAAGCGTGCGTTCATCAGGGATGAGTGGTTGCGTTGTGTCCAAGGGGTGCTTCTAGTCAGTAATTTGCGTTTGAGCTAATTCTGTCAAGAGTTGCCCTTCGTGACTCAGGACGAATTCGACGTCTTCGGCGCATTCGAGCTACCGGACTTGCCTCTGCGTCTGCCACTTCTTTGAATAGCTTGTTTGCTTTTCATAAGACCACTCACGATCTCGACAGGCTTCTTGTATGTACTTGAAACGTTAAAGCAGACAGCTTATCTCGGAGTCAACGCCTACGCGTTATTTGCCAATTTTTGTCCATGGGTTTCTTCACAGCTCCTTGGATTCGTCTTCGTTGACGTTTCTCCTTCCTACAAAGGTGACACCTCAACACCTCAGTCCGTGAGTTTGCAGCTCTTGTTCTTATCATCGTCTGCGCCTGCTTTTATGAAGGAGGATACTACATGAAGACACGCGTTGTCGACTTGCGGAGTACCTACGTCAGATCATGATGGAAAGATTATGAATCAGATATTTTTCAAGAACAAAAATGAAACATTTGCGTTCGTATGGTAGAACCGATTGCATGTTCTACGCTATACTTAGGAGTACTATGAGAAGTGGCTTTTGACCCTGCGGTACATCATGTAGAATGCTAGGAAGCCAATGCGTTACTTACGAAATGTGTATTTTTAATAGTAAAATAATCAGAGCAGAAAGAATACGTGACAACGCGCTGGAGATATTTCAGTGTTGAATATATATATATATATATATATATATATATATGCAATCACCGTCCGGTCAATAGTTGATTGATACCGTATAAAAATGTTCGAAACAGCACCACTATACATGTAACTTATTCTTTACGTATGGTTGGGGCAATTGGGAGCTCGGTCAAACGAAAGCTCAAGAGGGCTTATCAAGTTCAAATTTAAAGCAGGGACTATCGAATAGGGCCCGCACATGCTGAAATCATCGCTACTTCTTTAAGCGGAACAGCCTGACAGTCATTCTTTTCTTTTATCGGCTGCCTTTAACGGACAGACTGGCCGGACGCGAACCGCGTTTTACGTTGTTCAAATTGGCAAAACCTTATGGCCCATCCACGTTTGAGGGCAACGAGAACAAAATTTGGCAAAGTCGAATAACAACGGCGACTCACTGAAGCCTTTATTCGGATTTATGTTTTCACGTGGATCGATTGCAGCGGGGGGTGGCTGCTCCTGCAGTGAACGGTACTGCAGTGAAATTCAATATGGCATATCTGTTTTTTGCCCTATATCTTGAATACAGAAAGAGGAACTCTTGGGTACTGCGTTCGATAGAATATAATTTTCCAGCTGCAAAGATGATGTAGAAGCTTCTGTGTCCAATCGTCCGCTATCACATGATCGATCTAGTTTTGTTAGAAAAGTAACGGATGTATTACGAAAGGAACTGTCCTGTCGTTCATTGCCGGGTGTTCTAAATACTTCGTTTCCTTATAGTCGAAGAATATATATCTTTAAGGGTCTATCTATCTTTTTTTTTTTTTTTTTCGATTCTCAAAATTATATTTTAAGGTAGAACTTTTAAAATGGGTGACCAGACTCAGTGGCAAAAACTGCGAGAGCAAGTCGAAATGGGCATGGAATCTACGACAGGGATTCTCTAGCTGAGTAAAAAAAAAAAAAGAAAGAACCAACTTTGTTTGACTTTTCGAAATTGAGAAAAGTTCGCTCGAGTGATTTTTGAAAGCAATCATATTAGAGTAGTCTATATTCCTTAATGGTCTCACTGAACGCGGAGCACATGTCCTGGGTTGTTTTCGCAACATCTTAACACCGGTAGAAATCAGCGTTTAAAGTTTATGCACCGTACACACCGCACATATGCACCGTTTGAGTTGGAACTCAAGGCGAAAGGGTGACACGCAACTCTTCCGGGATATGCAACATTTGAACACTATCAAATAACAAACTCTTAAAAATACGGAGCCATCAATGAAAACAATAATTACTTTCTAAAAAACTTGAAACATGTGTAACATTAGGCCAAACGAATGATTCAAAAAAAGCTATTACAGCTCTCGATTAAGTCTAACGTAATTCAGACACGTGCGGACCGAACGTGGCACGCTATCAATGCTAAGATTTAGGAAGCTTACGCATACGTATTCTATAACTCGCACTGTCTCCTTGCAACAAAGTAAAGGATTTTTTACAATAAGGACCGCTCCTGTATAATATCAAGCTGTTACAACTGAATCCGGTGGCTCACAAACCGAATAACTTTTAAACCAGTTGGGCTAGGATTATGGCCTTTAAACATCCGTTAGAGACATCTGGCAGACTCTGGACAGCCATATACCCAGAATTCGCGTTCCTATATACAATTTATGTTTCGTAATCTGCACGGGGAGAACACCACATGCACTTCTAATTGGTTTGTAGTCAATTCACGGTTTTTTACCTTTTGAAGATTCGAATTATGATTATGTCACGCGTTATATGTGTCATGCCAGTTTTCGCTGACGCAAACCCTAAGCCTCTAAGCTCCGCTTTCGTGAAAAGCTTCTTCGATTGCCGCAGTGCTTTCTTGTGTTAGGAATCCCGATATCTGGTCGCTTCCTCATTTACCTTTCACCTTCCAATCACCGATCTTAAAACATGTGCACCATATATATATATATTGCTCACCAGTCGCGAATTTTTGAATCGCCGTAGCCTTCCGAACAAGCACGCTCGAACCACTGGGCGTTAATTTTCCAGATTTAACTTCTTCACTTGACCTGTTTCCACTTTTTCGTTTTTACCAACTAAATTTCGTCGGTTAACGGCGCGTAACTCAAAAAGGCCACTTTTCGCAGGCATCGAAATTTCATTACAATAGAGTGTGTACAAAGTGTGTATAACCAGTTAGGTAGGTGTACACGGTTTGTGACTGTTGTATGGATGCACAGTTCATCACACGGTATGAAAGTTCTTAACGTGGTTCTTTGATATTAAGCGAAACACAAACGGCCGTATAAATATATTATGTATATCGTAAATAGTCATGGCAGCAGTAACGCTGAATTCTGCAACTTTATCCAATAAAGTTATTAGATAGGCTAACTCATATATTTGTGATCAGCAAAAATGCCTGCTGAATCCAAGATAGGGTTATAGTTGCTTACAGTTTGTGTGTTTGGACCGACAGATTTTATAAAGGCACATAATTGAACCGGAATGCACACGCTAGCTCGAAATTAGCTTAAAGCTAACTTAAAAAAAACTACTCAAAAATCACGCGGTTTTTTAAACTGAAGTCGATAATCGTCGTATAAGCAGCAGAGTAGCATTCTAATATAATAATAATAGTAATAATAATAATTCTAACAAGATTTTTACTTATACATTTGTAGAAAATGATCTTTGTTTCCGATTGAAGTAGTTAGAAAACACATGAGGGAAGTTTTCAATTTGCCGTGAGACTTACTCATATTATTGTGGCTTTGCGCGGATGATTGATCGATATCTTAGACAAGTTAATGATTTGCGGTGAGACTTGGTAGAGCCGATGCCGCAACGTCTTTGGACTTTATTTGATTAGATACATACAAAATGATATAGCTTTGTAGTTGTACATTTGTTTACCTCATTCAATTTATTTTTACTTTAGTAAGTTATTATACTTTATTCGTAATATCATTATGTAGTACTTCGTTGACCAACTCTTGCTTCGTTTTTTCGTAGAACTACGCGTGAGTTCTACTTCATACCAAACGTACCACTGGAGACCAATTAGACCGTTCTTAATTAGCTCACTTATTTAAACGTTATCATGTTGTCATCGAAACTTACTCCATTGAAAGTCTGCCTTTGATTTTACAAATGCAATAACACTTCGCCTTATAAGGGTAATTATCGAAAGATGTTTTTAAATTAACCTATCACTAGCGACAGGTATCGATCAACGATGTTGAGAGGAACCTGTTACCAAGTTGCAGATACACGAATCGAACTTGAAGATTGCTTGAAGGTACGTGATAGCTCAGTGCGTGAGGTGTTCGCCTGCAAAGATTAGTGTCTAGGTGCGAATCCAGTTATGGACACACGGTTTATCTCGCGCTGGAAGCCAGCCGTGTGATGGCGTCTCTACCGGCAATACCGTACGTAAAACCTAGACGTAAAAACATAGCGAAGGTTGAAAGATAACTTTTTTTCCGTTGGACACGGTCTAATTTCTAAGCTTATGCAATGAAATGTAATATCGATTTCAAACTGGTATGGTAAACGGTCTGTCCGTTTGAGGTAATATTAGTCATAAACACAAGTTTCTCTATTTTAAACCATAAATACACAAGATTTAGGACAGGTAGGTTCTTTTGTGTACCACTGACTAGGATTGACTATGGCGAACATTTTGCATTAACTAGGCCTTTGATAGCCATGAAGAATGCATTGTCCACAATTGAAGGTAGAGTGCAAGTGTTGCGCCGAACACTGCTTTCTTCGCTGTGATCTTATTGCGCCTACGTTACCTTGCGTTGGTAGGTAGATGGCTTCCCAGCATTTAGAATTGAATAGGTCATACGTGCTGTATCTGAGCCTGGGGATTAGCGTCAACGTAAAAAACATTTTTCAAAAATAATGCTTCCTTCTCTCTGTGCACAAACCACAAATATCTAGAACCTATGTGAAATTCAACATATTGTACGCATCTATTAATTTAGTATGGTAGTAAGTGAACATTGCTGTGGATAGGTGTTCCGAACTTCGAAATTAGTCCTTGAAGTAATGGTAGCGATTAGCAGGTAACCTCTGGGGCTGTACATTATTTTTTTTTGTGATGTGTGCGACATACAATCCCAACCGAAAAAGTGATGACATATGCGTCTAGAGGAGAACCTGCCTATTATCTCTTTGAAGTCAGCCGATTATAAATAGTAAGCTGAATGTGGATTGATTTGTATTTCATCACGCTTGATTCTTCAATTTTGAAATGAATTTGCAATGGACAAGTTCACTTGTTTGCAGGAAACTATCTACATTAAGTTAGAACTTTGTGTGCTTTATTTGATGTCACTACAAGGTCATTGTTGTTAGCGAAGTGCTGGATTGTAAGGGGCAACAACAAGGTAGTACTGACGAAGTTCGGGATGTTCATTCAACAGCTATGATAATTCTAACCCCATCTGGCAGATCAAATGATTGATGGTTACTATCTGAAGCACTCGTTGCAATATCAGTAGACGGTCTCGCTAACAAATTTACTAGATTTTGAAATCTGTTAAGATTATTATAGTAAATGTTACTTTATCGTCCTCTACAGCTAAAACTTGTCCTTTTCGCTAACTGACTGTTGTCTTCTTGGTCCTGTTAGAAGCATGAGCAGAGTCCTGGTTTCACAAAGGTTACTCTTAACTTGTCAGTTATTATAGGAAGCTTTTTATTTTAAAGCTGAAAAGTCAGGTGTGATAGAATCGAATTAGAAATTTATTCTTGTAAATAATCTGATCCTACATAAATACTAAAGGCACGAGCGTACTCTTCATTACACGGGCAGGTCCTCGCTCTATCAATGAGCACAGTTCTTCTCTCAATGAGATAATATATAGTGAGACGATATCTATTAGGTTACCTTTTTCAACTTTTAACTGTAGAACTGCTGTTAGCGCCCCGTGGTACCATAAGCTTTAAACGCTTCATTTACTGCGTTCTATTACCTTATTGCGGAATAATTATCCTGGATTTTTTAAAATTCTCCTTAACTGATGTTAATGATAGCTTCTGGCGCCAATAGAAATCACGGTACAGCTATACCGAACCGACTCGCTAACGTGCGGATCGTTTTAGCCTGGTAGATTTTCAGCTAATTTAGCATAAAAGTGTAGCTACATGATCACGCTCAGCGTCTTTACTGCTCCATTTACCTGACCGTTCACTAAATTGCATAGACATCATTCTGTTTAATATTAAATTGTGGATTAGAAAATACCGCGGGGCAATCACTAGCCGGCAGATATATCAAGGCCATCATTTACGTGAAGCTGATGGTTGTTGGATGGAAGGCAGAGGAGCATGAATATTTAGATCGTTGAAAGGCATATTTAACAACACTCTTGTGCATCTAAGCGAATTTGTACTTTGAGAACGCTTTGGCATTGATTAGCCTTCCAGTCCTCTAAAGGGGCCGCAGTATAGTTTTAGCTATACTAAAGATCTTACAAAAACTAACCCTGGAGCCTCTTTCTAAACTGGGAACTTGTTAACTTCATAGTATCTAAACGCTTTATATACGCGTTCGTTATTCGATGACACATACTATGCAGAGCGCGTCGATAGCCTGACTTAAACAGGGAAGGCTGCCTTTGCTGTTAGATACAGTCAGTACCTTCAGGTATATAATGAATTTTGTTAAAAAATGAAGGGTTTCCGCAGAAAACGCTGCTGTATAAAAGTGCCGTCAGGGACGTCAGTCGGATCATTCTGCTTCCCCATATGCTATGAGAGTCTGTGCTGTTAACTTATTTTTTTGTTTGGCATGGAAGGATGCCATTGAGCAAAGATTGCGAACAGGAGAAGCGCTATCTATTTCTGCCAGACGAAAAAACTTCAGCACTCGCTTACCTAGAGGAGAAGTTACGTATGCTGCTTTTTTGAAACAGACATCTCATCACGCAGATAACAACAAAGGCTGATGATTACGTTAAATGCTTCAACAAAACTTTCTTCTCAAAAAAGTTCTCATAAAGAAAATATAAGCAAGTAACTAATCTAATTGAAGTTGACGTTATGACGGTGTTGAAATATTCAGCAATATTATTAAAAATAATGAATTATTTGTCAACGATTTGCAATGGAAACTCGTACCATATTGAACATATAGGATTAATATTACCTTTTCAACGATGAATTTTTGACGAATCTGCAAATAGAAGACAGCACCGATTAGGATGCAGACAATGGCTATGAAGCTAGGCAAACCTCCAGAGTTGCCTTTGAGTTATGCTACTAAATCTCAAATCGTAACTCGGTGCCTTCGTCCAAACGTCGAAAATTGGATGGTCCCAATTGCGACACTGACACACACGCTCTGGGCCAAGAAAGAATAACGGGCGTTCAATTCACGTTCACCTAACATAGATAGGAGACATCATGATCAGGTCCTAGCCTGTGATACCCGTAAGGCTCTTGGTTATAGAAAAAGAACGGTAATAACTAGAAACCCGCCAGTTTATTAAATTAAAATTAAATTAAATCCCTTATTATGTTGAAGCAGCATCTAGCGATCACTGAGTTCGGATAGGTGATTTCACATAGAGGAGCACGTTTCTTCACATACGCAGATTAGATACAAACTATTCGTCGGCCATTTTCTATATCATTGTATTGTATCGGGTCCGTTCTGTCTATAAAGCAGGCGTATGTCAAATTGTATTCAGTTATTTCTATACGAATAGGATTAGCGTAACGTTTATCGCTATCACCTAACAGTACAGCTGGAGTATAGTGACAATAGAGAGCTATTTTTGAATGATCGGTCAAAGTGTTCTGTTTGAAACGGAGGTGCAAAGAGAGGTGCAAAAGTTCTATAACTCGTAAAAAAAATATCTTAAGTCCTTTCCAGCTGGTATTAAATTGTCTCTGAAAGCTGTTGCGTTTGATGTGTAGTCAGACGTGATGCCGAAACGTTTGTTGGGGTAATATCTCAGAATTTCGGACGAGGAAGGCAGCTGTCTTCTTGTTGACCTAATCTCAGATGCCATTCCCGTATTACCAAAAAGGAGCCTTCAACCTACCTGAGATTTGCTGGAATTATCAAGGTCACCTTTGAAAATGCCTCCTAAATAAAGCTGTTTACGAACATGCTCAATTATTGCCCTGCATCACGACCTACACGTCGTTTACGATTTAGACCTTTACTGTTCCCAGCTGACTTCGTTATTCGAACTGACCATAGTAGAGTAAACTCTGAAGCGGTTTTCATATTTAGTCATGCACAGGATAACACACGCGCACGTACGATGTCTGGCAACAAAGCTACGATTCAGCGAAGGCCAATTTTCATTCATACCTTAGCTCTTACCGGTATATAAATTAAGCGTACTCTCGATAAAAGATGTGTGTGTGGACCTCGTCAACGACCTGAAAAACGTATCGACAAAATCAACGGTGCCAATTATCCATCTCCAAGACTTAGAAAGTTTTGAGCGGCAGGTTGGCATATTGGCAATAGCTAAATGGAAGATTTCTAAAAAATTCGAATTTTGATTTGGGAAATCTTCGAGAGTTCCGATGTACAAATATAACAATGAAGAAACTAAGCGAGATCAACAAGTTACGACCAACTATATCCAAAAATCTGAGATTTTCGACAATACGCTAGCCGCCGAATTTGTCTCTATCGATCCAAAAAAAAACCAATACATGAAAATATACTGAATACAATTGTATCTTGATTAACGCTACGATCGAGCAAATCGAGTGAAAATAAAGTCTCTTTCCTTCAGATACAATTGTATACCTAAAAATTGACGACAGTCTGTGTCAAGCCTCTATTCATACTCGTGCCGCAGGAATGGCACTATGTTTTGTTATTACCATCACTCTCTTACCGTTTCGGTGTGTAAGGAGCACCCTAAATTACGGAACTGTCGCCCAAGAGCTTATTATACGCATTTGCATCTATAATTTCACGGAGATGGCATCTGGCAGGGGTCCTGCAATACATAGGTCTACTTCTATATAGCTAGAGCGCATAATGCAGGAGTAGGTAGGACTTCTTAATAATAATTATAAGGCAAACATTCGATCGCATATATTTCGATTTATGAGTTAATAGACAGAATCCCTCATCTTACTGTGTTTCGACACTGCACAAACTTCGTACCGACCACCGGCCATTAGACTGGATATGCAGTTAATTTAAGAAGTGATATTTAAGGGTGAAAGTTAATGGTAAGTTAATTTCGGCGGCAAAACATCCGGCTCTGTATATTTGTTCGTGACATTAACAGTATGCTACCAAGGATCAGAGCTCATAAACTGTATGCGCACAATCCGAGTAATCGTCTAGACAGATCATCAGAACGGTGCGATGTCAGAGAAATTCTGTAAATAATAAGAGTGCCTAAATATGTAGCTATGTCATTTAGTCAACATGACTTGGTGTGCATTTAAAATTTTCGTTTGTTCGTCCCAAGGATGCGGACAACCCGTCACATAAACCCTGTCAAGAATCCTTATTATTCTGTTTATCAAGAAAGGTTAAGCTTTTCTTGATAAGCAGAATAATCCTAACGAGTTAAATTAAGGCTACACAAAGAACGCCTCCCGAGACATCTGCCGAATTAAATTCAGGTTACTTAGCCGTTCATGTTAGTCCGTAGAGCATTCGAGCATTATAACACATTAAAGAAAGTCTGGCAGTTCGTACTGTTTTTTATAACGCCCCGCCATAGGTTTGCGTAGTCTGTTGTCCCTTGTAGGGAATGACCAGCCAGTCTTGACCAAAAGGGCCTCTCCGGCACCTAAATAAGGCCAGGAACTTGCAAAAAGAAAGGTGGAAGTCTGACAGAGACTCGAGCCTTGCGACTAGAGGGACAGAACATTACGGGTGGTTTCGAGAAAGGTCATTAAGCAGTTTGTGAATTTCATATGTCATACCAGGGGCAACTGGAGAGTCGGCTTAGCAACGGCAGCAAAGGTATAATCTAAGGAAATAGGAGGCCTTAAACAGGTAATGAAAGCCAGATTTAGTGCATATACTACCGCTACAGATGGAATACGGGGCGTCAGGAGAGCCGAAGAAACTCGGAAGTAACACTGGGCTCAATGAGCCGATTGACTCTTTCTCACAAAGAGCCAGGCTTGGATAAGAGGTCCGAGCGAGAAGTGCAGGAAACCTTGAACCTGCTTACTACATTTCCCATTCCGTACAGCTCTGACGCGCCATCTAATCTGTCCGGGAATCAGTCGTGTTTACAACTTCACGTATTAGTCCCATATCACAACAGTTCGATAATTTATTTAGTGTGTTGGGAGTATTTACATAATAGACCCTTGCTTTCGCTATTATGAGTCTCTTGCTTACTAGAGTCTGCAGCTTTAAGAGAATAGCAGTTGTTTCAATTTTAAAAAACCCACTACGACATATCTGTGTTTCCGAGGATAATTATTGTGCTATTATTGCTAATAAACAGATCTATCTGTAGCGTCTGTTGGATGTATGGATTTTCTTAGACAGATATGTTTACAACAGTACTATGCGCGGTAGGTTGTTAGCTTGACTGGTAGATCAATTTTTGCTATGACACGTGGTAAGAAACACATTGACAACTGGTTCTAATAAACTGGAGCCCTGTAGCAACTCTCAATAGATTCTTGAAGCCGCGCAGGTAATGAAATAACCTAAAAACCTAGTTGGCAACGTGTGGGGCTAAGGCCAGCCACCAGCGACGCACCTCGTGTGAACTAACAATACGTTCAGAATGCTAAATATCTCTAGATCTGCTAGAAACACCCGCTGATCCGCTAAATATGTAAAATAAGCGATGTTTTGTTAAATATTATATCTTCCGAAAGCAAACCCCTTAAAATAATCGAATGGCTTCGGCTCGTCTAAAGTGATAGTATATTTGCGCATGTCAAGAAGCACGACCTAATTATTCATTTCTGTTATTCAGGCCCTGTCCTAGATCCTCTATTTAGCCCCAGCCACCTATGACAAGCACATGTCTTCTTGGCATTAGTGGCAACGCAGATCAAAGACGTAGTTGATAATATAATAATAATGCAAATGTAAATATTATCAAAGACTGCAGTGTTAATGTGCAAGTTCTCCCAGTCTCATAACTCACACTATTTTGAATCAACACACTATGGTATAGCTTGATTTCACATTGAAAGACATTTTTATTGCGATCCTGTAACACTGGTCAATATTGAGGAACTTTGAGGGAAATCGCCTCGCGAATTATAAACGTATGCGTCAGTAAAAATATACTGCCTATCATGCTACTTGATCCGACGTTACATTCGCCAAATGCAAGCTATTTGTCCGTGGCGTTCGTATGTTGAACGCCATATGGCACTGGTATAAATTTCTGCCAAAACGTCCGTTCTCGAGATGTCTGCAAACACCTCTTACCCGACGGACAATACGTCGCTGGCCATTGTCCAAATGATATAACTTCGAGAAAAATCAATGACCTTTCATTTCCAGCTACCTCCGAGTGAATACTATTTTACCGTCAGTGGCTAGGTGTCAGTTGCCCATTGATGCTATTCTCTCATCATTTCTGCAGATTTAACGAAACAAGACAAGAGCCAGTTACGTTTCATCCAATTATGCCAAGTTATATATGGATCGTATAAAGATAGGAGCTTATCCAGCTTTAAACCTATCCAACTTAGGCTTTCAAGCTGGTGTTTTCCTTGAAGCACTTCCCGTCGAGATGTCTTAGCCCTCTTTTCCTGCATTCTTCAACCTGTCAAATGCATTGGCAGCTCATTTTCAAGGTAGCGTAGGCCTGTACACATGTAGGTACAGGCTATTGGCCCTGAACTGTCTTGTTTTAACCGTTATGCAAACATCTTTTTCAAATAAACAACGGTACTTTCTAATTCCGTACGCATTCAATGCTGACAACGTCGTACGCAACGCGATGATGGGAAGACAATTGTGCAGCATTCAAGGGAACTTCCGAAATTCAAAGCTGGCCAGCTTTGATGGCGAAGAAAAGTCGTGTGTAGCCCATAACGATGCACACTGTAGTAAAAAACTAGATTGCCATATACTACGTAGTGCATATGTATACAGTAGTAGTAGTTCCTCTTCCCATTCGTATTCTATCAGCACTTTGGAGCGCATCACCTCGTGTCCATATTCTGTGGTGTAGAAATCTATCCCGGTTGTCTCAGCGCAGGTTGAGACTAGATGGACCGCGCGAGATCTGGCCGCCGGCCTACGTATGGAGGCGGGGAGGGGGGACGGTCATTGAGACATTTAGAAGTGTGGTGTGAAGCGTTGTTGAAGGAGGAACGTTGCGAAGGGCAAACAGCCTGGTGTTATTGCATAGAAGGGGCACGCGGCAACGGGGCTGTGACACGACCGCTTCAAAGGGTTCGTGCCAAATACGAACATTACAGAGAGATGATAGGGCTGTTCGAGGCGATGCTGTTAAGGATCTACTGGAAGCGGGGGCGAGAGCAGGGGGTTTTCAAGGCGAGCCGCCAGGTGGCGCATTAGGTTGTCTGTTTCTCCGTCACCGGAGCGCAAACGGATACCTCTAGCAACTCGCCAGCTATGCATTATGCCGCTATCTGCTGTTTCTGCAACGGCAACTGTTCGGATCGACTGCGCGACATTCCCGTTTAGTTGGTCTCAGCCGCTCCGCATTCGTGTCTCTCGCTCAGGACTTTTAATTTCTTGTCGTTATTTACTAGGTTGAATTAATTTAATTATTCGCTGTCCGGTTCCCGTGCTTAATGCCCTTGGCAACTATAGTGACTGCATAGCCAGGCTGTGTCTGCGGTATAGCCAGTGGCAGTGTGAGAATCGGCTGTTGGCTGTGCGTGTTATAGTTGTCATTTATGAGTTCCTCTCTCGGGCTAATGCGGCCTGCTGCTGCTCCTGCTGTCCTGTTTTTGTACTGCTAATTCTTCTACAACTGCTGTGGTGTCGCTTTAATTGTATCAGTGCACGATCGAGCTATGCTCCGCTTTCCATTCAACTCTGATAGCAGCCTGTTCGGCCTGTTGTACTGTCCTGCTGTTGTCGATTTATTTTGCCGCTATTGAAGCTCTACCAGCGCTCACAGCAGGCATTAATCGTTGCCATCAATATCAGAAAAACGACGACCGAACAGGCACGAAGAACAGTCTGTACCTGTAAGGTTCGTAGGGAACTGACTGGTACCGAGGGTCAGGCAGAGTCTGACGGCGATGCACGAAATTTTTTGTTATTCTCTCGTTCTGGTGGAGGCGACAATAACTGACATTGAACACCCGCGCCATCATCCACAAGGTCATTAATATCTGTTCTATTAGTAAATTTGTCCCCGATGGGGGGCGGCGGCGACCGTGTTTAGTTATAGCACCGTTTAAATTCTTATTAGTACTACGATTCCAGCACGACCATACTTTCGTGACGTCACTTCGATCAAGGAGAGGCAGCGCGAACGAACAACCCGGCGTTTGTCAGATAAAAAGAAACTGCGGCCATATATGATCGGGACGATAGCAACTGGCGCGGGAAAAACGGTGGTCAAAAATTGCAAGGCAGCACCGGATGCTTTTGATATTGGCATCGTTGCCGTAGCCGCAGTGGTATTAAGATCAGTCTCAACGGTTCATTATTCCAACTACTATGACTATCGTGCATAGCCTTAACTCAGCGGTGGCGACTACTACTGCCCCGACCACAGGAGGTCTTTAAGGCGACAAGAGGACCCGTTAGAGTTATTACAAACACTGTAGGCCACTTCGTGCCATATCATAACACACCGTATCGCCAGCAAGTCGTAGCGGCAACGACAGCAAGATTACTGGTCGGTTGTCTCGCGCACCGAGAGTCACACGCTACCCTTTACCAGTGGGCCGCTAAAAATACGCTAGATAGGGGTCGACAATAGCGGACGCGGCGACGACGACAGTCAGAGTCTCAACGGCGATAAGTGCATAAGTGAGCGAGAGGGACGTCGGCCAGCCGTGTGCCTGTCGTTACGAAGACAGCGATCTTTTTCTCGGTCTCTTGTTTTCGGTCTCTGCTGCTGCTGCTATCAGCGCTATTGTAGGCGCTCACAGGCACAACAAGCTGGCGGACCAATGGACGCGCACAAGTAGAGAGAAAGCCACTAAACCAGCCGGAAGAAGACCAGAGGTAGGCGAACTGCCCAGTGAGCCTTCCTTCTCTTAGGGCCTGTCGGCTGCTGAAAGGACCGTGCTCGCCATTGCGAGTGCACCAACATCACCGTCAGGACCGCTAGACGACGGCAGCGTGGCGTAACGCGGGCCAACAAAATAACGAGTACGAGTTGCGCCTATGATCTACAGCCCCTCAAATAATCAAACAGACGTCTGACAAGCAAGGACAGCAGAGTAGAGGCAAGCTTAGTGGAACCCGTTTTATCGGACAGCTGAGCGACCCTCTGAACGTAAACTAGCGCGAGAAACAAGCAACGGGTGTAAATCGGCCCAATGCTTGCCTGAACGGCGTCTAAGCAGCAATGCTGTACGGTGTTATTCATCGTAGCGTTGAATCAGTGACGCTAAAACCACTAGAGGCTTTACATGGCAAAGCAAATGAACGGCACAGCTATATAGACCTGGTGTACTCAAAATGAGCGTCTCTTCGTCAATCGACTGCACAGCACAAGAGGCAGACAAATAGGTCAAAAGTTAGAAATTGTAAAAGGAGCAGAAGCATAAGTTCGATCAAACAAAGAGAAGTTTCAAAGTCACGGCAGCGAGCTCGTCAAAGCTCAAACCCACCACGTTGCAGACCTTTGCCGGCTGACAGTCAAAGGTAATGTGAGGTCAGCGAGCAACAGCAACAATGTTCATCCGCCTTTCCTTCAAAGCAGGACGCAGGGATCAGGATCAATAGTCGCATCAACATCACCACCATTTCGCTTTCAGTTAAAGTTCATCTCGTTCCCTTACCGTCGAATCCTTAGCTCATCTCGAGTCCATCCGCCTCAGTAGGTTGCCCCCCTGGCAACCCTCACTACCTACCTAACCACCGGTACAGCAACGACGCGGGTAACAAAGATAGTGGTCTGAACAGAGGCAATACAGGTACGTAGACACCTGTACACAGAAGCGCATCGTATCGGAGAGGGAATCAGGCAAATGAAGAAAGGGAAAAAACTCGATAGAGGCTATCAGCTACATCAGTCTGAAACTCAGCTGCATAACCTGAACCGGCGTCGGCGTAACAGCCGACCCCAAAGCGACGATCACCGACCAGGCGACGGCAGGTCGTATCGCGTCGCTACCCAACATTCCTATTACACATAGTACATTGTAGCGATCTTCGCGAGCGTCAGGAATTGGCGAACCGCTTCACAACCAAAAAAAAAGGCTCCGCATTATCTATCTGTACACGGTCTGTGCTCGCTAGACAGCGTAGTGGACAGCGCGAGTGAAGTGTATTCTAATGCTATAGTGGTATAGTTGGATACGTGTGAAACTCGCGATGCGCATGCACTGGAGTGGCAGGGGTAATTCTCTCGAATAAATGACAACTGAACGGATGGTCACGTGAAGGCAAAAGGTGATATATAACTGTGTATTATATTATACATCAAATGAACCAGAGACTGTGGCCCCTTCTCTTTCTCCTTCCCCATACTTTGACGGAAAAAAGACATCAGTAGGAATTACGTGTAAGTGTGACCGTGTTTAGTGCATTGGTCGTATGCGTGTCGATGAGCGGCAGCCGGCGATACGTGGTGTCTGACATCTGCGTAGCCAAATTTAGCTTCCGAGCGGTTAGCAAATGCGGGTATTGTTTAACCGGGAGTGCAATCGTTAGACCGACATCATTGAATCATTTTGCTATCTGTTTAACGACGCGTTGCATTTTTTTCCAATCTCGCGTATACGATTTCTGCTGTGGTGCCAATATGCTGTCCTCTCTTAAACGGTGGACGATGGCTTGTGTGCTATATTACAGACGCAATGTACCCATGGTCAACCAGTGAACGCCGGCGACGAGTTAATAGAAACTATCATAGTGGCATAATTTCGGTAGTCGCCATGTCGTGCGCACGTAATGGCGAAAGTAGAACGAAGGCAAGTCTGACACACCTACAGTACGTCGCAGAGTGTTACCAATGGCATCAAAGAAATCGAACGTAGCTAGCATTCTTATCAATGCATACAACAGAAGCGATGTGATTAACTGAACGAAACGCATGTAAATAAGGACAGCACACGAAATCGTCACCGTTATTAAAATCTAACTTCTCGTGGGCAAGTGAAAATTGGTGAGGGATAAAGAACTGGGTGGGGGGGGGTGGGGGGCAGGACCCAAAATGCTTAAGCCCGGGTGGATGAAAGCTCAGACCATGCAGTGGCAGAATTCACTGGCGTATCATTTGTCATCAGCCACCTGCAACACTCTCTCAACAAAGGCTATGTTCTTCCATCTACCACCGCCATCGACAATAGCGAGCGCATCTAATAGTTAATAATATATCGGCTGCGCCGTGTTCCCTGTGTTGTCCTTCAGGGCCGCGTCAGTCGAGGAGCGGTCCAGACGCCGCGCGGGTCGATGGAACCTCCGGATGCAGCGACGGAGGAGATTGCGCGAAAAACATCGCTTCAACCTTCGGTGCTTTCCATCAACGATACGATCGGTAAGTGGTCATTCTTCATTATTGTCATTATATATGCATTTCTTGAGAACTATAGAAAGTTGAAGAATACATATTGTGCTAATCCCTATATGGCATAGCTTCCGTTCGTACTTTCTTCCAAACAGCATCGGTAAGTACGAACTATAGCGAAGTCAGACGAAGCGTCACTACCTAGACATTCTAGACTTCGGATTGCCAACGAACGACAAAAAAAATACGACAAGCCTGCGTAGAGCCTTTTTGGGGCAGTACGTTACAGATCTCACTTGCTGCAAGGAGGGCGCTTGGATGTCTGCACGGTAGTAGTATATCCAAATAGGCTAATTATTATTATTATTATTGAAAAATTATTCTAGTATTAGGTAATCGTGACCTTTAGGAGCCCATCGTATTCACTTTGGTTAATAACGGGCACTTTTTACTCTGTTTTGAACTACAGCGGCTAACGAAACGGCCATTTACGAAAGCTAAATGCAGTATAATTAGAGCTGTCCGCCTATCCGTACTATTTCTTTAACCAAGTTTCTACCTGATAAATATAATGTTTAATTATAACGTTGCTTAAGTTTGAAAAAAGCAGTCGACTATGGATTCTGAACGTTACTGCTAGAGGATATACTAGGGAAAGTTTTCGTATAGCTCACGCATTTAGGTATCTGGTTTTTATACTGTGTGCGTTGCCTGAATCTTAACTCTTAAGCTGTTTTGACCACACTAGGAGCCATACGGTGAATACCTGCCTAATACCGTATACCGTTTGTGGCGACTTCATAACTTCAGTACTTTAAAATTGTAACATTTTTCAAAGCCCAGTCTGTTACGTGCTTGCAACAAATGTATGTTTGTTGAAGTGCAATGTCACAGACTAACACCCTCTAGATTGTAATTAAAGAACTAAAACAGAATATAACAGTGCACCGTAATTGAAGGCTGCACTAAGCGCACAAGAATCCGACCATCGGTGCAAAATAAGCGCCATGATGTTATCGATACCTGCTTTTGCATTTAGATAGCTCAATTAGGTAGGTTGTGAGCGGTATCAGCAGAATTTTTCTCACATACAAATTCAAATTTGTGTTAATCGCCTTGCAGGCAACGCTGGGCCATTTTTAGGACAGGCTATTTAGCGTTCCATCTTGAATAATAGGTAGCTTCATCTGTACATGGAACCACTGTAATTGTGTGCAAAACAGGACATAGGACAGCATAAGATTCTAATCGACTTCAGAGCTATGCTATCGGCAGGCGCTCATTACTTCACACGAATGCCTAGACAGGCTTTTGATTATAATTGACCAACGCACAGATCCCTTATTATTTAGAGTTCCACATTATAATACACTTTGTTAGATAAACTTAGCTCTGTTAGTCGAAATGCTAACCATTTGTAAAACGGAGAAACTTTGATTTTTAATCGCTATCGAAATACTTACTCAACCGTCCGAAGCTACATTTCAGGTTACAACGCAAAGTAAAAAGGACGCTTGTACAACGTACAAAGGTTTTGTTGATCTTTGCTATATAATTGAAAAGGGACGAATCCTCTCGGCCGCGCAGTGATAGTATCAAAAAACTTCGCTACGACATCTTGTAGCGCTTATTACTAGGCTGGTAGAACGTATGCTAGGGCTGACATTATAACATAGTATTTTAAGAATATGGAAACGATATTGGGGTTCTCCTACTACGGATGTGCTTTTCAGCTAAACCTGTTGCAACAACTAAAGTCGTTGCAGTAATTTGCGCAGTTCCTTCTACTCTAATAGGTATGAAATAAGCCTTTTCTCAATTGTCTAAAACCGCCTAACGCTGTGTATTCAATGTATGTATAGTTTAGTCTGCTTATATCTATATGACAGTTAAAATAACGTAACACGATTCGGACGAAGGGCCTATCGTCTGAGATGTGTAGGTCAATCTTTTTACTAAGTCTTCTTCACCAATAGCGTGAATCGATCATTACCCTTCGTTGGAACAAAGTCGACGTTGTTCCACACGAGTGTAACAGGACTATAGACTTGCCATCTCTCTCGGAAATAGCATGTACATATTATTATAGGTTGTAGTATTCCTAGCGTCCTTAACCTGTTATAAATAATAGCAAGAGGATAGGCTTTAAGTACCGGATAACATTGAAACTACCAGACAGTATAAATTTGTATCATTAAATAGTGCATTTATTTACACATAAAATTACCTTCGTCCTGAAATAATATTGCTTGACAGCTGCGCTGCAACGTCCGTATTACGGTGTGAAGAATCGAAATCTATGGGACAAAAGTAAGCATGGTACTGATCATCGCATCTTTTATGGTCGTAGCTCGATGGCAAGACTGGTGTGGTACAAATTGTGTGGCACACCAAAGACAAGGTATCGTGTTGGAAATGCTCAAAAAACATCTTTTAGATCAGACGCATTATATTATATACAAAAAATAAAAAAAAAAAAAGAACATTCTTTATAAATATTTTGGAGTCTTACATTGAAGATACAATAAACCCGTATCCAAAAATAGGGCTCTCGAGGTATGGGCCAGTTCTGTTCTAACTATCATAATCCATTAACTGTATAGTCTACTGTTAAACGGGCTCTAAGTAAAATCATGCGGATTATACATACAAATTAGTTTGGTTTACTGCTTTCTGCTCCACCATCATCTTGCATTGAGGCTCGCCAATAACATATGCTACATGACAGGTATGATTTTCGCAAATCATTGTTCTGTGAAAAAAATCCACTCCGCTGAAACAGGCAAAGGCCTCGATTACCATGTCATCATCATCATCATTATTTGTTACCATAAAGTGTGGATTAAATTAGATACGGTACACAGGATTCTAGGTAAATTAAACTGCCTAACACAGGACGTCATTGTATCATTATTTTCATCATAATCGTTGTTGTTGTTGTTGTTGTCGATATGAAGTCGTTCTATTAATGAAATCAGGATGACAGAGACGTATTACAAGGACTTCCCTTCACTAATGGCGTGATTTATTTAGGAAGGGCTTTTCAAGGCCTTCCAACTTGAGCATATTGTCAGCTTCGGTGTATTAAGGTTAAGAATACATTGTGGGTACTCTGTATGCTTGTACCCCACTCCTAGTTAATGCTATGCAATGATTACTTCAAAAAGATATAAATGGCGTTCTTAAGCATGTTTATACATGTATCGACAGATAGTTCACTTTCAAAGGCCGAGGAGAACCGTCTCTAACGATAAATGTAGAGTCGACCTGTCTGACCGGATGTCTCTTTATGACAAGAAATAGCGAAAGGTTTTTTTGTATGTGTGATTTTTGCAGCAGGTTATGGGTCCTGATGAATACTACTGCCGATATTCTTTCTATGCGCCCTAAAGACGAAAACTGCTTTATAGAAAATTTCAATAATTTTATTATACTACTCAGGTACCAAACAAACAAACAACGATATTAGGCTGTCGAGAGAAAGATTACGGTTGTAGCTAACTACGTACTATTCATGCCCATATTATCATAACCCTATTTATGAATACTGGCAAAGCGTTTAGTTTTGTAACCTGCGGTAAAACAAGATTAGGAAAACATGGGTCTTGAATCCGCTGCGTCCAGCGGCATCATTCCAGCGACGGGGCATCTGTTTGAGATAGCTGTCCTGTTTTGTTTAATACAGCACTGCAAATAGGAAAAACCAATTTGTATCAATGACCACCTGTCATCAGCGACACTGAAAGCCAAATGCGACTAGAACACAAATCACTGTTAGATACTTTTAGGTAACATGGTAAAAGTTTCCAATATTTAGATGTTAATTTATAGAAAGAGTATTGACTGCTCTAGAGCAAATGCGTTTTATGTTTCGAAAATGTATTACTGAACTAAATATGCCCTGTTTTAATTGATGATCTTCTTTCATATATCTGGTAGTACCGTAACTCTGTCACTGTTGAACGTATGCAATTCGTCGGTAGAAAAAATGTGACAAGCCATTTTCGTATCCCTCGACATAAACGAAATTAGCTGGATTGAGTTCTGCAAAAACTGAAACAGATAATGATCTAATGATGCAAAATCCGGGCTATACGGCGGATGCGCCAAGATCTGTCATCGAAGTTCTCGCAATTTTTGCCGGGTATATAGGACTAACGTGTGTATAGTCCTGCGTCTACATGCTGAAAGAAAGACGACGCCTCTTCCGTTGGCTAGTTCCGGTTAATCTCCATTCGATGGCTTATGATAGTCGTATCAGCTGTTGATAGTAGGCTTTGGAATCAATCGTTTTGGGCAGACGGCAGCAAGCCATAACGCGCGATCCCATGCGAACACATGATACCACGTTTTCGGTGTGAGTCTAGGCTTTATCATAGCTCGTAGAGCACATCTTTCACATTATTTAATCGCCTGTGGTCAACTGCTTTTCAATTTTATTGCGTTTCAGACTAAGATACGATCGAGTTAATTTTTTTTGCGTCAATTCGTATGGTAGCCAAACATCGAGCCGCTTGTAGTAACCAGCATTCTTTAAATGGTTTTAAATTGTGTGGCGGCAGACGTTAATTTTCCAATAACGTTTGTGTAATTGGTCAACCACTATGGGCAGCGTCTTTTACATCGAAATTTTCGGAAATGAAGCCACAGAGCCATTTTTTTGGCCATTTCCTCCCATAACGCACTTTTACAATAAACAGTAGAATTTTCTTTAGGGACCGGGGCGAGATTTGCGCGTCCACCGTAATCGACAATGCGAATTTTCGTGTAAATTTAACCCCGTCGTTTTGTCTGAGTTAAGCTATTTCAATCATTTCAATATATTTACTACTGGCATATTTCAGCAAAGTTCATATCATCGAAGTAACACCAACACTGATCTGACGGTATTCGTATTACATTTATTAAATTATGTAACTTTTTAAGGCATTTAGCTGGACAAACGGTGTGTACATTTTCAAAAATCCAATATTTAAAACAAGTTGAAATGGCGACCACCCACTCGAGAGGGCTCGTACTATTCTTTGTAGGCTGATCAATTTGCTAGGATAGTTCATTTAAGCCACTAGCTAGGATCGGCTTGAGATGACGCGGCCGTACAGAGCTATTTAAAACAGGTATACTCATTTCAAAGTTAATTTTCTTTCCGATAGTAATGTCCTCTTGTTCATCAGCGAAATTGTGGCCATAGCCACTAAACATAGTAACGCTACAATGGCCACCTGATAGTACTTTTATCTTGCAGAAATGAATATTGTTATGATAACAGGACAATATTGTTGACCACCAACCCTAGTGGCCATCACAGGAACTATCGACATTGACGGCATAGCTACGTTACTGAAGGACAATGTCGAAGTATGCATCACAGTCTCAACATTGACTGCGGTATGTTCGCTAGCTCGAAGTGAGCCGTGAGCCTCGTATGGTCGCCGTATGTGTGTCACTATCAAAGCGAATATTAGAGATAAGGCCCCAGTAAAAATTATGGCGATAACGACCCAATAAATGGAGAACTTCGATTTCGCTGATGTCCACAGTCAGTAGCATCACGCACTATTGACAATAAGGATCCACGTAGAGGTAAATTTCGAAAATGAAAATTTATCATTAGTTTGGTTTTTCTTTAGCCTCGGATGCATCAGCCCCAACCCGTTATAATAACAGTACACGTAAAATACAAACCTGTCTCTGGCTTTTGCCTAGCGTTAATCATTTGGCAAAAATTTCGTTTGTTCTAACAGAACTTTATGACATAAATAGCGGAATGTTAATAGCGGTTTTCCTCGATTTCCCTCATCGAGTACTATTTTGTAGTGGTAGACGCATGATCTACCACAATTGAAAATTTTGAACAGCGAATCAGAAATACCTCGGCTTTATTTCACCTTATGGTACAATCGTTTAAAATTAAGCAGTTGCATATTTTGTGCAGATATTTCTCGTTGAGTAAGGAGAGCATCGGTATTTAGAACTGATACATAATTTTCATGTACGTTATCAGGCGAATATATTCTGTCATACCCCATGTGAAGTATTATGGGGCTGGGATTTTTAATTGAAAATAAAGGTAGGAACTTATATTTTCAAGTCCCACTAAATGTGTTCACGGAAGCATATGGTATGACCTTCAGAGCCAAGCAGAAAGCAGAATAAACACTAATACAAAAAAAAACAACCGAGGAGACGAAGCGATACCGTCAGTGTTTAACCTATTTAGATTAATATGTTACGATCTCAACATTTTATTGACTTTGGTCTTATGTAGAAATGAGAACACAGTCTGTTTCTGCTCGAAACCTTCTTCTAACAGCTAGTAAAATGGCATTTGCTTTTCAACAGGACGTATCCACTGGATTTGTAGATTGACTTTAGTAAAATTAAAAGAATCCGTTTTATTATGTAGGGAGTCTGAGCGGAGCATGCTTATTTCTATGGTTACTATGTTTCGAGGTAACATTAAACTACAACCGAAAATCCCCTATGACATTGACCTTGCAATGGAAGCTAGTAAAAATTATTTTCCGAGTTAAAGGGACACAAAGTAATATTAGTTCAAACTACCCTTTTACACGATACACATATAAGCTACATAAGTAAAATATGGCATATATATGCCTCCGTGAGGAAACTCCTATATCATGATTTTAATTCACATGTGTAAATATTTGCGTATATAGTACTTGAGAATGTAATGTATTAGCCTTCTCATGGACCTTCTCTGCAAGGCACTATTCTAAGGCCGTTTTACGGTAATATATAGAGGCGCCGATGGTGTCATTTCGCCTCAGCCACGGTGCATCGAAAGTACTAAGGTATTTACCACAATTATCGATGTTTCTAAAGCTAAATGCAAGAGTTTATATTAAACACTTTCTTCCAACCCAAAATATCGATCAGGATGATAATAAATAGCCTAAACATAAATGAAATACTTAGCCCCGTATTCTTTCGCGCAACAGCTGTGTAAGCCATTACTACCGTTACCAAACTACAGTTTGCCGTATAGCTATTTCCGTGTTGTGCAGATAGCGCGGCTGTTCCCAAAACTTCGAGCCGACACCTGGTTCTAATTCTGCTGTAAGTTAGCACCAGTTGTCAGTAAGGTAAGTTGTTCTTTGGGCGGATCCAGGGGTCAAGACGATACGATTAGAGAATTCAGTTATGCATAAAATGTCGTCTGCTATATAAATAAACAGGCGTTCTTGAAATAGCTGGTACGGAACAACAAGAAGGCCTGCCTGAAGAATCGTTTGCCTCACACTTTAGTGTTTTCATCGATGAATGGCGAACTTAAACAATAAATAACTGAATGATTAACTTAACGTACCATAATCAACGGTTCATTAAAAGTAGATTTGGGTAGTTTTCGATTACATATGATTAATTAACAATAAATTAATACGTAAGTACGACAACAAGACGTTGCTCGATGTAAACCTCCATAAAACCTTTTTCGTTTTCATCTAGTTCTGATTATTAAACTAAGCTGTAGGAGCGTAATGCTCCATTTTCCTTGAGCGACCATTAAGTAGCCCTATTTTCATTGGTTTCCGAGCGGGCAGAGTGTCCGTGTGTCTGACACGTGTGGACGAAGTGACCAAATAACCGACTTGCTCGACCGCGGATATGTTTACGATAGTTAGAGCTCCATTTTTAGTACGCGCACATTTTTGGCTAGCAGGACCTATTTCTGCAGTAGCACGAAATGTATTCGGATCTGTACAAACCATCGTCTCAAACAAAACTTGTTTTCTGCTTCATTTACAACTGCAAACTAGAACGTATAAATTTTCTTCTTGTCGTTCTGAAGCGGCTCTTTAGACTTCTGATTTAATGTAATTATGTAGCCGCAGATGTTCGTTTCCAAGTTCGTGTTAACTATTTCTTAATGGCTACACTTTAGAAAGTAATTACGACATTGAAAGTTACTCCAAATTACGTTTTAGTCTCAAGGGTTAGCTTATCGCTCGGTCTCTTCAAGTTTCATTAAATTCAATGTTGACTCTATCCGTTTTGTTCCTTTACTGTAAATTCTACCTAATTAGTACTAATATTTAGTGTGCCCGTAGCATTATGTTATACAGAGCCTATTAAGCTTCCGCTAGCACCTATAGCCCATGGTTATGGTAGCTCAGTTGTCTAGGCCAACTGAAATCTACGACTCACCACTCCATCAACGATTTAATAGAACCGTTGAAAGTGGCGATCATCGCTCAACAATCGATGGTTTGTAGGCTAAATACGGACATAAGAGAAGAAGCTACTAGATAATAAGTTCGTAACTGCAAAATGTTGTGGTTATTTTGTGCTCAGCTATCTTGTGAGACCCTCCATTCGAATGGAATTGAATCATGTGTATCACATACTAGAAGTTTGTTTTATTTACTACTATTATTATTATTCCAATAATTTAAGCTATAGCTGAAATTTGTAAATATTTGAGTAGAACATAATGATTTCTAAATTTAGCTCGAATAAACTAAATTAATCTCTGAACGTCGATCATATCGAAAAGTTGCTTTGCCATTCTTTCGCTGTATGGAAAGGTACTTACTTACCTCTCGGTTCCAGGCAACGCGTCTAGGCGTTTCCTTGCCCCGGCCGGCCCAGCTCCCTTCTCACTCTAAATAGCATTCGTCCCTTCAAACATTTGTGTTCACTTTCTTCTTTCATAAAATAGAAATTGTAGCTGTAACGCACATGTTAGCCTGAGCGCAACTCTAAAATGAATAATGTATCTTTCAGTTACTGACGCAAACGGATTTGGTAGAATAAAAGACCTCCCCCCTGTTAGCTAGAGCCACCTGAAAGTGCAATAGATCGTCTTTAAGTGGATTCCGTATAGATTTTTTCGGATGAAACAGCTATCAATCAAAGGGCCTGTTTTGGGGTCATTCAGGGCGGTTCTATTAGGTTCAGTTAAATTATTAGACCAAGCTAAAAATTGGTCAATCTCCAAGCAAATTATTTTTGCCTTAACTTGGTTAAGCCTTGGTTGCCTTAACTTAAACCACTTTAGATTGCAGTGTTGTATCACTGGTGTATTTTTTTTTGGTCTTTTACTTTTTTGGTCTTGTACTTATTATAAATATCTATTTAATGAATATCTTTATTTAAGCTACGAGCTTATATAGCAGACGCCGTTCTATGTTTCGCATCTGAGCGATTTGTGAAACTCCGAATATATGCTTTGCAATGCACAGTTGACGTCAGCTCTGCCTCTGTATTAATAATGAAAAAACTATTGCGCGCCATTAAATCGGGGCGTAGAAGTGTAATTTTGGTATAGTGGAAAAGAGATTCTAAGGATGAATATTATGAACGTGCTTATCACACTCTAACCTTTCATTTACCTATTTGGCGCTGTTGTCGACATATATATATATATGAGAGAGTGTGTGTGCCGACATGCACTGCCTATATATCTAAGCATTATAATGCACCATATATCGTTACCGCGAAAGATATATGAAGTAATTACTACTATCCAGGACAAACGCAATGATTACATTTAATCCAATAGTTCCAAGTTAGCAGTAAGAGTAAGTAAACAATTTGTTTTCTAATTTCGAACTACACCTAAGCCAAAAAATGTAACAATTTCAACTTCCATATTCAAAGTTTATTTATTATTATAGATTTAGATATTTCAAATTTCGTTTTAATAATGTCTGCACATCTCAATTCAAGGAATACGTGGTAAGGCTACATACATCTTTGCTAAATTAAATATTAGCTCACTAATCTTAAGGAACATTACAAACAATGAATAAAAACGATTTAAAGAACTGTTTATAAGTTAATATATAAGGCGAGCATTGAGACGCATGACTTACGTGCTTCATTTCTGCTCCGTTTCGTGTGCGTGATGTTCATCACCCTATGCTGCTGCTGCTGCTGCTACTGCTCAAAATCGCTGCTTAGGTTCAGACCGTGACATGTGTAGAATTTGCCATTGTGAAGGCGATTCCCAGTTGCCCTTGATTTCACCGTGTTTCTGTTCGGGCTCACTCAAGTTTGTCCATCAAGCGTGTTTGCAACAATGGATAAAGTCATCCGACATCAAATGTTGTGAACTCTGCAAATTTGAATTCATTATGAACACTAAGCTTAAGCCCTTCACAAAGGTGAGTAACCTAAAAACTCAAACAAATCGTAATAATATTATATAATGGCTGGCTTGAACGTATGGCTATGGGTATGTAGCTTCGTCTTCATTGAATTTATTTCTTTTATGGTACATATACACCCTTTGAGGTGAAAAGCATTTGTAAAAAATGTACGTTCTTATATAAAACCAAATGGATACAGATAACTCAGCCAAAAGCCTGAAGTTTGTCATATTCAATAGAATTCGCATAATAATCAAAAATATTGCTATTACGATATTGCAAGCGAGTCCGGCGGATATTAAAGTGGACTAACTTTTAAGCTACAACTGCTAGCAGACAACATTTGGCTCGTAAATACTTGAGTTTTTTAGAATTTCGAGGCGAAAACCCAGGTGAGTTTACTTTAAGACAAATAAATTTATGGGAAAAAGCATCTAGTCTCGGAAACGAACGCTTAATCCTCGAATCAAACCCAGGTAAATACATTAGACAAAAAAGCCCTAAACGGTACACAGTGAGTGATGCAAACGTTCTAAGAGCGAAAAATGTAATGTTGAAGACCAGCGAGGGGGCGGCCAGATGTTGGGACCTGAACGACAATAATGCATTGCCGCAATCGATAAGGCATCTCACGAAAGCAGAGCTTAGGCTCCAAGCGGACAGTTCACATGTAACGTGTTACAGATTTATAACCCGAAGCGAATATCCGAAAACGCAAAAACTGGGTAAAAAATAGATCTCCCGTAGGTTATCTTCAAACGAAATACAAATGCGTATGATACATTTCGTGTAATCTACGGAATTTTAAGCAATAAAAAGCCCATGTGGAGCATATGGTTACTGTAGATAAGGCATAGTGGAATCTTCACTGCCAGTGGGACAAGGACCAAAAATGAAAATGGCATTGTCCTAAAGAGGGATTGGGTTTAATGGCATTATGGAGTAGGCTGGGATGTAGGATTACAGTAATATATGTAGTGGACTTCAGAAGTGTCTGCTACTTTGGGATACTCGCCGAAGATAGAATCGTTAATGCAGCCCTTTATCTTGACTCCTCATGAAACACACGCAAGGCAATCGAAGTCATGCAATTTTGGTTCTTGGTGATAGCGCTAGATGACCTACTTCCCGTATGGAGCAAAGGAGTATCAACACTGGCACAAACCGTCTGTTTTGGTCTAAATTTGAAGTGAAGAGTAAGTATTTGGCTACTCAGAATCTATCAGATCGTTAAAACAAATACGTGAACAAGAAAGAAGAGTACCTTCAGCATATATTAAAAGATCATTTCACCCCAGCTAGTTCAATAGACATTCGACTTCAAAGACCGCCGGATTCGTTTGTAACTGTCTGATATCTACATAGGATCGTGGGCGTTTGTTAGCGGTTAGTGTTAATCTTCATTTGACTTAAATACCATAGGCCACTGTTCCTTGTAGACCAATGTTGGATTGTCGTCACAAAAAAAAAATGGGATTTGCGTCTCCGCTTTGCTAAATATCGTCGTTCACGTTATCTACTGTATACTCATCTAACTATTGTGGGCTTCAGAGTTATCTTCTATGTTCTACAGAGTATTTACAAGTACTGTTCTGGGAATGAAGGGGTATTTAGACGCTTCGTTATTCGTAGACATTCAAACGTAGTGTTATCTTTTTCTGCTGGATAGTAAAACAGCCAGAGTCATAAAAGTACTACGTATAACACGTCATCTACTTCAATGAGCAATCCCAATTACAACTTTTAGTAGTGGCAGAAGATGAAGATAGATAGCGCAAGTCGAACGGCGAAGGAACAACTGGTGCCAAATATTGTGTAATGAAAATTCACGTAAAGGGGTATCATGTTGTTATTGAGTGAACTGATTCTAGTATAAAAACTTCTCTGCTATTTCGTTTGACAATAACCTTATCCGATCATTTGACATCAGCAAGTTGTTTTCTAATTGTAAGTAGCATCTCTTTTCATAATCAATTTATAATTTCAGTGGGAACGTCTGGACATGAGTGCCATCGAGCAGCGCAGGGTCCTGTGCCAAGCAACCTTCCATTTAGTTGCCATTACGTGTATTCTTTGGTCGTTATATGTACTTATTGATCGCACGTCAGAAGAAATGCGTGAAGGACAGCTTGATTGGCCTTTCTGGACCAAACTCATCGTCGTCGCTGTAGGATTTACAGGTTTGTGCAGAGTTAGTTAGCTTTTGGTCAACTAATGAACATGGATCCACAGATATCAAAAATCATTTCTTCAAGGCATAAAGCGCATTTTACAGATAGTTTCGTCTCTATTTACGCTAGAAATATAAGACTGTGCCAGTATAATTTTCGGAAATTAAAGAAAAAGTGTTGGGAAATTTTCACCAGCCTCAGCTGACTTCGCATAGTGAATGTGTAATTAAGATCAGTTACGGTTTAACACGTATCTGGGAAAATCGTACCGGTATCTGAAAATATGACGCACCCTCGCTATAATATAACACTTTGCATATTATTATTACTGATGTGTTTTTTTACAGCCGGTTTAGTGTTCATGTATGTTCAGCTTCGAACATACGTACAGCTGTTCCAACGCTGGAAGGCTTTCAACCGTATAATATTCGTGCAAAATGCACCCTCGAAAGACAAGGATCTGCCCACGGCACGCGATCTAATGCCGGTCAACATTGTTATACCGGACACAGTAGATTCTCGCCCGCAGCAGCATCAGCAGCAGCAAATTCAACAACATCAGCAAATCCCGACTGCGAAAAGATCTTGCGATGAAACCAGTTGTACGTCGCCAATTTCCGAGGACTTTAATGCCGAATTGAGCAGCCAGGGCACGATACCTCCAGACGAGCCCAAGCCCCCGTTGTAGTAATATGACTATACAGGGATCGATATATATATACGAGACCATTGATTTCGAAGTCCTGTCTTTTATACTTGGAAAGGAAATTAAAAGAAGGAAGAGTCTAAGCTAATGCGAGTTCAAATTTTTCACAGTAACACTATAGCTCTCCTAGCTATCGTCGCCTGTTTGTCGTTCCCGATCAGCTAAAACTGTGCACATATAGGGAATGGAATTACAAGAGATGCACACTTATGAAAAGATTCAGCTGCGTACAATGAAAATCCAATCGCTTGATGGCTATCCTAGTGGGGCGTTAGTCATGTGGGCAAATTTGATGTGCAACCTTAACGAGTTCACACCACATATTTGGAAGAGCGTGGAAGGCGACAGGTACTGTGAATGGCTCTGGCCGTATTTAATAGCCATTTTTTCTGTTCCGAAAGGATCGAATGAGTGAATTAACACGCCAAATAGGCTACCGAAGCAACCTACATGCCAGCATTAGTATCATAAACTTACTAATAGCGTCAGTGAGTTACTCAGCGAAACACGGTACTATATTGTCACGTTTCGCCATGTAGTGACTTAACTTTATAGTAACTAAAAAAAAGCGAGGGGGAGAGAGAAGCATTGCGGGACTCTTTGTGTCAGGAAAGCCCAAATTCAGCCAGGGGTCGGCTTTAGCAGCTGGGAGCAATTGGCTAAATGGATAGCGATCCCTTAAGAACAATAAGAACAACAGTGCCTAAAAGATAATCTCGAGTTACGCAGCTAAATAATTCGAAGAAAACTCGGTTAGGCATAACAATCAGTGGCCAGCGGATACCGATGATCAAACTGGAATATGAAAGCTTTTTCTAGACATCTACCTAGGAATTGATGAGAAGGAATGAAATAATGAGTACAGTTCGTTGATAGAGACGCAAGTATTAGTAGGGCGGAAAGAGAAGCCTCATACAAAACAATACGTTCTCGTGTTTCATATGAACGAATGCTGATATACCTACTACAAATTATTCATTAATATCCGCTCTCAAAAGTCTTACAATGTGGCACTTCGTTCGATTTTTGTTGTCCTTTCTTCTTCAAAAGAATTTCCAACATACATTATTTCAAGATATCTAGGCTTGATTAATGCTGATTTGATCTCCTGAACTTGTACCCGTTCTGGTAAAGGCTAAATGTTGGAAGATCCCTAATCGAATTCCTTTGTGTGTCAGAGAGCCCACGATTATCCTGCATAGTCAATGCTAGAGCAACAAACGTCGACATCAACGAATGTTCGTAGATGAAGATACATGTACATAGATATGCACAGTTGACATTTTGAGGAAAGTAGAGCTTTCTTCCTGCTGAAAGAACATGAACCTTGAATCATTTTCCCAATTCTATTTCAATTTTTTCACATGTAAAACTACTTCGATCAGGCATGACATTCCCCCGAGCTGCTGATATATTCAGGTATATACCATATATACAGTATGTCTCAACGGTGGATTCGCTGGGACCCGGAATAGAGAAGCTCTATATGCCACTAAAAGGTTATTGACTTATTTCAGCGTTGTAGATATATCATTATTTTTATTATTATTATTGTTAACAGTAGTCTGCCTTTGTAAGCATGGATCTAGTCGAAGTACAGCATGTACACTACGATGCAAAAAGCTGTCATATTTTTCGCTGTTTTGATGTATGTACCTAATGTAGGAAAGAGTTTAGTATTAGTATAGTGGTACTTTAGTTTTAGTGACCTCCATGCTGTATCGTTCCCATTGGCAATGAAATAAAGCCCGCAGGGTAAAGAATACAGGTTGGTTTAGCAAGATCAGCGGAGTGTCAAGATAATAATAATAAAATTCTATTAAAAGCGGCCATAGTTGGGATAAAAAATTGGAGAAAATTTCATTATATGCATCTGGACAACAAATGGCTTAATAAACGGATAAATACAAATGACAATGGGAACATACAATTGAAAATATGGCAAACCAGGGCCGCATTATATATATATATATCCAGAATTCACGATCTATATTATTGCCAGTTTCCGAAAACTCGAAACTTAGTCATATGGCACAAAGAGCCATTTCTGATATTCAGTATATTCGATACAGAAATAAGATGTTTCCGAGACGATAGTATCTATTGTTACATGGGCAGCTCAAATGAGCCCCAGCGATTAGTCTTTTTGGAGTTTTGAATTTTTAGGGCTTTAGCCTATTACAAACCAAAACTATGAATATGATCCATATTTTTGTGGCCGTTGTGTTAAGCGAAATTTCGATGAGTGTACGCGGTTCACGGTTAGTAGGTTAAAAAGTTCTTTACAAACGGAATTTGGATGTTACATTAATGTCTCTGTTGGCACATACACGACATTGCTTTGAAATGTCTGTCTTTGTTTAAATACGCTTAGATTTTGTTCCAGTAATATATTTATATATATATATATATATATATATATATATATATATATATATATATATTACTGGAACTTAGATGGAATATATATATATATATATATTGGTACCGCTGGGGCCAAGAGAAATTTGGAATCGGTTCAAGTGGCTGTTTACTTATCTACACTCCCGTAAAGACAAGCAAATAGCGTATTTTCCAACGCGAACAAATAATAGGTTTGCATTGTCATTGGCTTTATAACTGTGTATTGAAAAATTAGTCTTTAAAGAACAGTAGCAGCTTTGGAAGACCTCTAAAAAGAGTGTATCGGGTTACGACCGATACTGACAAAAAAGTACAAATGAACTCTAATAAAGTTGTGTTCATTTCCATTGTAGGTCCATACATGGGAGGGTAATTCTATATTTGTAAATAACCTATCAGGGGCTCAAGAAAGCTAGTCCCACGTCGCGTAAAGCTTCGCTTTACACAAGTGGATTAAAAAATGGACCAGAAGAAGATATGTCTTACGAGATAGATGGAAAACAACTTATGAAATAAAACACACTAATGCTTCTGTACATGTCTGTATTATGGTATATAAATATGAGGAACCTAAAGTACGTTTTTATACCTGTATAACTGTGTTAGTTGATCTTTGCAAAGAAAATATGAATTAATGAAAAAAATTATCATAGCGAAGTGTCACTGAGCGGTTCGGGTCTCATTAGAAGCCACGTGTATGAGTGCGAAAAAACACATGCCTATCATGTGACTGACTTAAGAAAACAGACCTGGATCAGACGATTTGTGGAGTACGTGTAAGTAAGTAAACGAGTGCGTGTTCTCATATGCCGCAATGGGTGATGTGAAAATATATTACTATTAAGCAAGCAGTTTCGGCTAGAACCCTATTTAAGGTAGGCCAATAGCAGCTAGTCCTTGCAACAGGTGCACAATCAGAATCGCAATTTATGTAGAGGCAGTAAAAAAATCTCAGAAAATCATGTAAACATCTAGAGGAAGTTGAGCGATTGAGTCGGGATGTATAATACTGAATAATCAGAAAACGCAAGAAACGAAAAATTCAAAAAAGATCACTAGCTGAGCTTAAGAAAAATTATAACGATAACTTTTAGCAAGATGCAGAACACCTATTGACAATTTGCTTGTGCAAATAAATGGATGCCGCGCGTCAATGTATTGACTCATAGAACTATATCACTGTTATTTATACCTGTATGTATAGTGTATTTCCATAAAGTACTTGGAGACGCAGAATGTCCAATGTGCTCATCTAATAACAAACATTTAAACAAAGGAATAACAACAGAATGGTCGGCACAAAAGAGAACATTTCCGAGGCATATAGGGATAAAAAGGTTGGAGAATTATTTTTGTTCAAACAGTTTTGGCTGCCTGAGCAAGATGATCAGGTGACGCCTATCCATTACAACATCTAATGGAAGTTGTATAATAATAATAATATTACAATAGCAGTATAGAAAGTTCGCAGTTATTCACTCTAAGCTATTAAACTATTAAGCTATATTTAACTATTAAACTATAAAGCTATTATTTAAAGGTAGTTAAACTAAAGACAAGAATAACAAATATATATATAATTAAAATAAAAAGTGTAAAATAAGGAAGATAAAAATATCAATGACGATACACAAAGAGACCAGAGAAAAAGCATCATTATAGCAATCCATGCGGGATCTTCGATGTCTTTCATGACATCGATGCCATGGAAAAATGTGAGAGAAAATCTAAAAACAACTACATAGCAGAATGTAGAGCGGAAACAAAAAAAAAATCACGTAACTTGGTGGTCAATTTTTCTTCTTACTTCCGTTATGGTTGGCTAGACAAACTGTGATTAGGCTTGGAAAAAATGTTTGGTTGAATGGTAACAAAGCAAAAAAGCAAATTTACTGCATCATCTTATTGCCATGAGTTACCTTATGCAGCGCATATAATGATATAGATAGTATGATATGCTACTACAATAATATTAATAAGAATAGTAAGAAAATACTATACGGTGGTGACAATGATGATGACGTGATGACACTAATAACCGTAAGTTATTTTTATTCTATTACAATCGTCACTTAGGTAGCGCAACTTTTTTCAATTGACTAACTGACCTGGTGATGGTACTGAGAATTGTGTATTAATCAAAAATGCTCCATTTGATAAAGATTAGTGTCAACAAATAGAAACGAAGCATTCGATAAGAATACAGAAACATAATGTCTAAACAACAAACGCGTTGCTAAATCGTAGAGTCGAATACATGGGCAATGCGAGAACTGGGCTAATGGCACACGAAAAACAAGGTAATAAGAATGATTGTAGAAATGATAATATGCCAACAACCATTGATTTTTTGTGATGTACACATCCGGGGGACAGCCCCGCCCATAGCCGCTATCTTGATCATTATGTACCTGTATA